CTTATGGCTGGTTACATTTTCAGAAAACACAATTTGCTTAATTCATTAATCATGGTTTCAAGTATTTCCTTATTAGCACCAGAAAACTCACCCACCTTTTGTCCCTTTTTATAAAACTTAAGCGCTGACAGGCATTTGACTACTTCACACTCTGAAGGCATCCTGACAATCATCACACTAACTTCCAGTCACACCACACCACCACACTTCTCAGATACACAACAGAAAAGACTTGATCATCTGGCAAGGTTCACATCACGTGGCTGGCAAGACAACTACCCAGAGTCATCACTAGCCTAGTTTGAGGCTGCCTGAAACTCTTCCTTACCCACCTTCAATCTGCTTCATCATTTTGATCCTCGTAGAAAGAGAAGTATGAACCCAAAGCATCAGACAGAGCTTTGATGAAGGCAGTGTTGCCATGGAGAGAGAGTACGGACCAAGAGTTCGATTGGGACTTCAGACAACTACCATTTTCTGGCTGTGCAAGGTCAGCCAACCAAGCCCTTCGCCTTAAAGAGTTCCAACCACTGTATGAAAAAGGCAAGAGTGATAATGAGAATACAGTGCCTAATGCAACAGCTAGCTAGCAATTTGTAAATCTTAGTACATTCACAGGAAAAACTACAGACACACAGACACACACCACAGAAAAACAACTACAGACACACACCACAGAAAAAAACTACAGACACACACCACAGAAAAAAACTACAGACACACACCACAGAAAAAACTACAGACACATACCACAGAAAGAGCAGAAACTGGGACTAAGCAGATGACACTAAGACTCAAACTCACCGTCATGTGGTCAGTTCCAACTCACAGCGACCTTATGGAGGACTTTCTGAGGCTGTTAATCCTTATGGGAGCAGAAAGCCTCATCTTTCTCCTGCAGAGTGGTTGGGGGTTGAACTGCCATTCTAGTAGAAAGCAGTTCAGGTCCCAACTATACATGCCACAAAGGCTCAGTGAAGGGAGAAAAGCCAAGCTGTGAGTGGGTAGGGGAGGCTACACTGGGGAACAGGGGGACAAAGGGGAGGATTTCGGATAAGAAGTGTGCAGAAATAAAGAGGCAACAAACTGTACTAGCAAGAGAAGGCAAGGACAGAAATAGTAATGCGGAGAGGTAACTGCTGGATTTTTGGGTTTGTTTTTTGTTTTTAATCTTCAACTGAATGTTCGGTGTTAAGATGTGAAGATTTAGAATCAAACAGATCTGAAGTTCAACTCCACTCCACCCTGTAACACCGCACACATTGATTTAATCTCTCTAAGCTTCGGGACTCATAATTATTTATATTGCAAAACTGG